TTGTGAATGGGGAATCATAGTTGACCAGCTCATGTTTCCTATGAGGTCCCACATGGATCAGATCTTGCCTCCATGCTCTTTAATGTTTTTAGCAAAGAACAGGAAGCCACAGTATCATTACTGATAAAGTTGAGGCAAGGGGTTTTGTGAGTGATATCTTTTATTAGATCAAACTGACTAAGTTTGCTGTTGGAAAAAAAGATGGTCAGTTAAGAAGAAGAGAGGTTATTGATACCAGAGAACTAGGGTTTTCAGTCAGTTGGCTGCAGTCTTGTGTCTGGGAACAAAAACTGTAGGCCCTACATACAGAATGGAGGACTCTACTGTAGGAAGCAGTGACTGACAAAGATCTGAGGGTCACGGTGTATGAACTTGAGCTTCCCAGTGTGACACTGGCCAGAAGGGGCCATTGCCTCTCATCGGGTGTAACGTGAGCTGAGGAATATGTTGGAGGAGAAGAGAAGTTTAAACTTTGTCTGTGTTGGGCACCAGTGAGATTGCTGCTGTTGTACTTGGTTCAGTCTGGAGTCTGCAATTCAGGAGGGATGTTACTGAATTAGAAATGTTGTAAAGGTACACAGGGAGGACGGATAAACATGCCTTATAGGGAGAGATTCAAGGAGCTCAAGGCATTTAGTGCATCAAAGAGAAGGCTAAGGGAGGAGTGGATTAGCCTATATGAGTATCGACCTGGGGAACAAAACCAATAATGGAGGGTCTTCATTTTTGCAGACAAGGATTCAATGGCTGGAGGCTGAAGCCTGAAGCTAGATTAATGGAAGTCCACATGTTCAGCAAACATGCAACAAATTAGCCCCTTGCAGTCCCCGAGTGCTATTCTGATCCCCTTTCTCTGCCCAATCTGCTGCTCTGCTTTCGGCTCCTTGCCCTGTGCTCTCTCCCCAATATCCTCCCCTGCTTCCTGTCTTATCAACTGCTGTGCTACCTGTCCCCTTCCTGATCTGCTGTGCACTGCACGCAGAGGCTGCCTATGCCACTTGTGGCACTTTTGCCACGGGTTGGACACCCCTGAGCTAGCCAGTTCACACTATAAATGAAGTATGAACTTAACGGTGTGGATAGTTAATCATTAGCATAATTGATCAAGCTGACCAATAACTGTGGTGCATACTGCCAGTTTTTCAATCAAGACTGAATGTTTTTCTAAAATGTATGCTCTGGTCCAGGGGCGTCAGACTGGGGCTTCTTGGGGGTCAGATCTTGCCCTGCCTCTGGCAGCAGGGCAAGCAGCATCATGAAAGCACCAGGGTTAAATGGCCATTGCTTGTTGTTCTCCCCCTCCCCCAGTGGTGCTCCATACCTCTGATTTTGGCAGAAGGCCCCATCCCTGAATTCCTGGCACCTCTAGGAACCCTGTGGGCCAGATTACGTGACTCTGTGGGCCATATGTTTGACACCCCTGCTGTAGTCCAACAACAGCAATTAGCCTGGAAGCAGGGTTTAGACTCCCCTGAATTAAGGCCTCTTATGCAAGACGTCAGATTAAGATGGTCAGAATGATCTTTATTGGCTGCAACCTATGAATCAGTGCCAGATAACTTGAGTAGCAAAGAAAGCTGGCAGATCACACCGTGTTTTACTGACAATTGTATAGCATCTGTACAGCAATTACAACTACAGTATTACTACCATGGAAAAGGTAGTATAAGAGTGATGTTGAAGCTGTGATGGTCCAGAAGTTATGTGAGAAGCAAGGATTTCTTAAGGTGATAGCTTTTATTGGACCAGCTATGTAGTTGGGATAAAGTCAGGCAAGCTTTTGAATGCAAAGCATTCTTCATCAGGTTTACATTGTTCGCATCTTCCATGTTACGGTAGGAATCCTTGCCTCCCACATCATTTCTGGACCATCATGGTTACAACCGCACTCTTACGCTACTGTAATGTGGAAGATACCGAAATCTGCTGCTTACGAGGGAGCATGACAACAAATGTCTTGCATTTGAAAGCTTGTCAAACTTTATCTTAGCTACATAGTTGGTGAAATAAAAACTTACCACTCTAAGAAATCCTTCCCTCTACCATGGAAAAATAATATTAGGAAAGGGCATGGCGCACCTTCAATTTAAACAAAAAAAATAGAGATCAGTGGTTGAAAACAGGAAAAGCCAGACCTCTGTGTGACCAGTTCTCTCTCTGTGGGTCACTAGCAAATGCTCCAGACTGTTAATACTCTACAGGCCAGAGGTGGAGAACACATAACCTTTGTCTTAGTCTGGAGCCTCCATATTTTTTAAAGCTATTGTCAAGTTTGCTATACCAGGAAAGCTCTTATCCTGCTTTCTCTCTGCCTTCTTTTGGGAATGCCAAACGCAGGCTATTTGTGCTATGACATGCTCTGGAAAAGTGAAGAGTCTGCTGCCATTGAGAAACCACTCCCCAGCCCAGCCCCTGGCTTCTTCACTTTTCATCCCATCCAGGAAGAGCACACACCAACTGCTGAAACTTCCTTAGCCTGAGGAAGGGTTTTTGAACTCGAAAGCTTGCTTAATAACTATTCTCCAACTATTTGGGTTGGTCTAATAAAAGATATCAAATTCACCCAAGGAACCTTGTCTGCCTATGTCTGATGAAATGGCACTTTCAGGAAAAGAAATGTTTCCTCTGTAGGGCAGCAAGTAACAATCTATATTATGCTTCTGCATCATCTTGTTTGGACTGTTGTAGCAGTTAGGGGTGCACTGATAGAGATTTTTTGGGAAGATACCGGTGGCCAATTTTTAACGAGCCATATCGGCCAATACCGATCCGATTTCCGATATACTTCTATTGCGAGGGAAGAGGCGAGGAGGAGCAGACGGAGGCCCTGTGGTGAGTGTGGGAGTGGGGCTGGGACAGGGGCAGGTGCTGCACAGCTGGGGCAGGCTACAGGATGGAGTCACGGCTTGTCTGGGGGATGCAGGGGGAGGCAGCTCCTGCTGCTGCATGCATCCCAAGAGGGCATGGGGGTATGTGCCCCTGAATCTGCGTGGGGAGAGGGCAGGCTGCCACTGCAGGCTGGGGCTGGGGTGGTGTTGGGCAATTCCTGGCATGGGGGTTGGGCCAGGCTGCACTCGGGGTAGGCAGCAGCATTAGGAGGGGGCTATGGTGAATTTTGAGGTGGCTGCAGCCCCCCCCGTAGCCCTCTTCCCAGTGCTGCCACCACCACCTGCCCCAAGTGCAGCCCAGCCCAGCCCAGCCCCATGCCGGGAAGAGCCCGGCACTACCCTGGCCCCAGCCTGCAGCAGCAGCCCACCCTCACCCCGCGCAGGTCTGGGGGCACATGCCCTCCTGGGGTATGTGCAGTGGCTGGAGCCACCCCACAGATGAGCCGCTCGCGGCTCTGTCCCATGCCCTGTCCCACCTGGGCAGCACCTGCCCCAGTCCCACTCCCTCCCTCACTGCAGGGGCCTCAATCTGCACCCCCCGCCCCCCTTCCCTCACAACAGACTTACCAACCGGATCTGGCTACTCTCCACGCTGTCGGGCCATGCTCCTGCCCCCTGCATGCTGCGCTGTGGCTGCGTGCATGCACAAGGCATTTATTGGCCCTATCAGCCAAAAATGCCGATTGATGATGCTGTCAATTTTCCTTATATCAGTGCTGATCCGATATGGGACCAATGTATCGATGCACCTCTAGTTGGCTTAACTGGTGGTTGTCTTTAGCTGAACAGTGCTGGTCTGGTAACTTGGCCTGGCATTTGACAGTCTTCAAAAGCCCACCTGCTCTAGGGTTTTTTTAAAGGACTGATGGTCTTCCATGGATTGGAGGCATCTAGAATCTTACCTGGGTGTTGACAAAGTAGGAATCGCCTATTTGAGTCCACGGCCTAATAGCTTCTTATTCCACCCATTGCTAAAGCTGGATTTCTAATTGCACATTTGAGAGAGGAGCATGTTCTGTGCCTTAATGGCCAATACTCCCTTCACCTCTCTCCACAGGGACAAATTTGCTCTGCAGCCCCATCCACATAGTTGCCAAAAGTGAAAGTCAGAGTTTTACCTAGCACGGATGGTTATCTCCCAGTTTCCTCCAGTCACCTGACTCCCACTGGGAGAAACCTAGACTGCATGTCTCGGATACTCTGAGGACTTTGTTTTTATTGAAGTAAGTAGTAGTGAGTCAGTTGGGAACAGTCCTCTTATAACTCTTGAGTGATTAGTGGAGGGGGAGTGCTACAGCACCTAAGCAGATTAGGTTGTATGTTAAAAATAATGTACTTTAGCAATAGTGGCTGTACCCGAGTGACTTAGATTTGCTAATGCAGATCACAAGACAGGACCTGTCTTATTGCAGTCCCTGTTTAATAACCATAATCTACATAATACCTGGAGTTTCTGTTGCTCCTCCTGGCAGTGCTGCTCTGTTGACTTGCCATCCAGAACTTCTCTTTTTGAGACGGCCGGTCTGCAGCTGATACTTAATGAGTGCTCCTCAGCCCCCTTCTGAAGGCTGCATTGCTTGCTGGACTCCCACAAGCAGGCGAATGCAGAGGTTGCTGCAAAAGTGATGAAAATTGTTTACAAGAACCTGTGGGTCTTTAGGAGCGTTGCCTCTGCATGCTGACACTGCCCACTGATCTTCCTGTCTTTCTGAGCAGTCAGAAGTTTGGTGGAAGGACCTGGGAGGTGTGGGGGGACTGCATGGCCTAGTGCTGTAAGAGAGAACTTGCGGAGTTTCAACAGGCAACTATTGCTAGAAAGCTCCCAAGCTCAGCAGCCCTGCCAAATGCATCTCCCAGGCAAGAGCACAGAACAGGATCTGGGCCTGATGGGGAAACATGTTGAGAGCCCCAAAAACTCCACCACAGTTAGGGCTGTATTTTGCTAGATTCTCTACAGATTTAGAAAACAGACAATCCCTGCCCTGACTGCTTACTGGCAAGTACATGGCACCATGTATAATACATGCCATTAACATTTAAAAATCCATGGTTTATAAGGTTGTATCGGATGCTCTTGCATTATGATTAAATTTCTTAACTTTCTTATTTTAGGCTAGAAATCTGCATACAGGAGAGTTGGCTGCTGTAAAAATGATCAAGTTAGAGCCAGGTAAGTTTTGCGTTCTTTCCAAGTTCTGTTGCTGTGTCTGTCTGCTGTTGGACACTCTGCATGTGTGCATTTTCACAGCAGGGAGGTACTATTTGCATGTTACACTTAGCCAAAAAAAAAAAAATGTCATTTGCTTTAGTTTTAGTGGTTGTCACAGGAAACACTTGGGGATTATCTAAAGCACAATGCACAGTTGCTCTCATTTTTTTTCTGCTCAGTATTTTCTTGTTCATTCCTGTGTATTCTCTCTACCACCTCTTCAGATCTTGCCGTTACGGTGGATGCGGATCGAGGACATGCTCTTTTCTCTTTTCTTGTACAGGAAAAGCTGTAGATTTAATGTTGGAGCCTCCCTTGTGTGCCCACCCTGCCCAGCAAATGTTCTGGGAGAGGAGTGGGCAGGAGGGGGTGGCACTGCTGTTCTTCCTTCTGCCACTGCTCTTCTCTGAGCTTCTTCCTAGGGGTGCAGCCCTGGGCAGGTCTGATATCCTGCCACAGTTCACACTGATTACAGCCTCCTCAGTCCCTGTGTTTTGTGTGAACATTGTGCAGTGCAGCATGAAAGCAGTGTGGTAGGAGGTGGTGAGCCAGTTAGCCTCTAAAGTGCCAACCCACCCTGACTTCAGACCGACATGCCTAACTACTTCTCTGATAGAAGAACCAATGTCTCCTGACTGCCAGACCGTTGGCTGATGAGGAAGGAGGGTATCCAGTGGTTCTTTAATCCCACCTCCCTAAACCAGCAAGAGAGACAAGACGCCAGCTGTAACGTTTAGTCCTGCATGGGGATCTGAAATCAGAAAGAGCATCTGGAATGGAAATTGGGGCAGCAATAATTGAGAGAGAATTCCAGCTCCTCCTGGCCAGTGGCACCCTGCGTGTGTTTAAATTTTTATGTAAAGGAATGCTCCCCTGCTGCGGGTTCATCAAAAAGCCTTCTCTTTACTTTCCAATCCCTCCTTCAGTAATCGGCTTTCACGTCTTTCTGCTGTGCTGGTCTCACCACAGCCCCCTTAGCCTGAACTCTTGACTCACATTTTGCGTGGGAAGCAGGACCTTTGTTATTGAAGGCCTGATTGGAATGCATCCTCTCCCCCCTAAGCCCCAGCATGTCTCTATGGCACAGGGAGATTAAACACCTCTGCTTGTGTGTGGTGGGGTTGTCTGTCTGTACTTAGTGACCAAGATGTGAGTATTCATATTCTGTCTCTTGGATGCGTTATAAAATAGCCTATTGCCTCATTACTTTTCTTGCTTCCATCCTGTTGTGCCCCCAGACATTGGAAACTGCGGATGCCTAGAAATTAAAATGTGTTTATTAACTTCTGTGGGCCCTATCATGGTTGCAGGGCTGACTGTACCTCCGTTTTCCCTCTTGATCTCTCTCAGTGCACGCTTTCACATGTCAAACCTCGTGGCTATACCTCTGGGGCAGAATCCTTCAATTCTCCTGCTAACCTGGGAGTCCACATACCTGATCCAGACAGTCTGGCTGGGTTTAAGCCCCTGAGATCCTTGCCTTCGGGAGCCTGTGACTGGTGCTACGCTGTGATCACACAGGCCGCTGCAAAGCGGAGCTTGTAACAGTAGAAACCATGCTTTAGAGAGAGAGAATTTTTACGTAAGCCAACAGAAACGTGTGTCTCATACATAAAGCCTTGTAACCTAGGCAGACGTACCCTCTCCAGCCATCCCAGTGGGTACTTGTGTCACAATGTGCTTCCCTCGAACAACTACACCTCTTTTTGTAGAGGATCCCTTTTAAACCCTTCTATAATTCTTGAACCCTGTGGTAAGTCAGGGAGGGGTCTTGGAATCTTCTTAAATGTCACTGGTTCATGTCAGTGTTTGCTACGTAGAATAGTTTAATTTTTTTCAACCCAGACCTACAAGGGATTTAGATGTCTTTCACAAAGCAGAGAAAAAGGGAGTCAGTATTAGTGTGTCATGTTGATCCTTGTATAGGCCAAAGACCAGTGTCTTTCCCTGACATGGGAGACCAAAGGCTGAAGGAGAAGGAATAAAATGAAGAGGAAGCGGCAGATAACTGAATGTGCTGGAGAGAGATCTGCACAAGGGCTGGTCTCTTCATAGGGACGTAAATACCATGAATAAGCCTTGTTGTGTTCCCAGTAAAGTGCCATGTTCTCCCTCTGGGGCCTGTTTTTCTTTTCCTTTAACTTTCATATGTAGCAGTGAATCCTGACAAGGCTTCTCCAGCTTTTGTAGTAGAAAGAGAATATCAACCTGGTTGCACAGGGATCTTTGAATTAGCTCTCCAGTTTCTGGACAGTGCCTAGGATAAACCTCTTCTCTGCCTGATCTGGAGCACGGATTTGAACCCAGGTCTCCTTCCTCATAATAAGGCAGCGTCTTAACCACTGGACTATAGGGTATTCCTGGGTAGGTCTCAGTTGCTCCTGTATAAACCATTCCACTGTGTATAGATTACATTATAGGGTAGAGAGAGACTGTGACCCTACAGGGATTTTAACGTGGATCACCTTCATCCCAGGCAAGCTCTCCAATGCCTGAGCTGTCGGAAGTGAGGGAACCACAGCTGTCCAAGTGCCTTTGTGAAGCCCCATCCTTCTTTTCTAAGTTCTTCCTTTGCTTTTTATTTAAAAAGCAGCTAAAATGTTTGAAATTGATTTTTTTTTTTCATTTGCTGAAAATTTCAAAAAATACTGGGTTTGGGTTGGCTAGAAATAAGTTTGCTGTAACTAGTGATAATGACCACATCCCCATTAATTTCACTGTATTGCCAGCTTGAATTGCCACAGGCAAGGGATTTCATTTCAGGCCTTTTACATCGTCTGCAAAGTGTTGCCAGCCTGAGCTCAGTCCTCGGCACGTGCCTGCAAAAACTGCTGGCAAAGGCTGTGCAGGGTATTTTCTTAAGGCAAGATTACAGCATTTTTTTATTCTCTGGAGTGTCTGCTCGTCTTGTCTCCATGATGCAGTCCGCTCAGAATGCGTCAGCTCACTTCCTCGCAGGCCGACATGGCTGATTTAAGCATATTGCTACCATCTTTTTAAAAACCTATGAACTGGCTGCTAGGGAGACATTGTATTTATTTAAAGGTTTTACTCTAGTTTTCAGTTGCAGGGGATGCAACCCTTTCTAACCCAAAATGGCCATCAGCAAGTAGACTATATTTTGTTCAGTATTGCAGACCCTTAAATAGCTAAACATACAATTTATGGGATGAAGATTTTCAAACCATGAGTGAGGAGGCAGTGTAATGCACTTTATCAAAGGTGAAAAGATGCTGCCCCAAATTAGATTGCAGCTGAGAAGTTCCCAATGTCTGAGGAGCTCTGGAGAAAGCATCTGTTTAATTTTAGGGTAGGGATGGCCTGGTTTGCTTTTTCTTCATTACTGACTAAGTGATGATAACTGATTTGGTAGGCAAAAGGAAGTAAATAAAACCAACCCCCAAAATCACTGCATCTGGCTTTCTGTCTAGTCTTTCTCTTGTTTGTCTCCTTCCCCTAAAAAATGAAACAAAGCCTCTTTTTAAAAGGTGGTCATCATTAGTGTGTTCAAACGTGTCTGCAATGTGCTAACTCTGCTGCCACTGTTACTTACACAGCACTAATAAAATCAAAGTAGATGGTGTTTTTCACTTTTTTTGGCATAGACTTTGAAGAGCCTTTAGCCAAAAATATTATGGCACGCTAATGACATTTCCCAACATTCATTGAGTTTGAATGCTTCAAATAATTTGAGAGCCAGCTCTGTTTCAGAAACTAATTCTATCTGCGCTCAGCAGCTTTGAGAGACTGGTAGAGAAGCCAAAACTATCGAAAACACAAAAGCCACTTCCTTGTATGGATTTAGCAGATGAACTGGTGGAGAAGTAAATGCAGAAAGATAGCAGCTAGCTGCCAGTGTGATTCTACTCTCTACAACTTTTTCTCTGGGAAAAGAGAATAAAAAGAGCTGTCAAATACGGGGAACCTGTGTTGCAAGTATTCTTGTGAGGATAAATAGCAGCACTGGTAACATTTGGCTTTTTATGAGGCTGTCAGAAATTTGTAATGCTCCAAATCCCCTTATACGTTTACTGGAGTATCTAGTTACTCTTTTTTCAATTGGCTTAGGAAGAGTTGGTTTCATGTTTTGTACTTTTCCTGTGGAAATAATCTGTTTAGGCCAAAAGAAATCAGTTTATTGTTGTATCTTGTACTAGTTGGATGTTAGTTCAGAGATTTAAGTGCAACACAGAATAATTACTCAAATGTGTATAATGTGGCTTTTAGTTGATCCTGCCTGTAGCAGGGGTTTGGACAACTGGATGACCTCCTGAGGTCCTTCTAGCACTAGTTTTCTGTGATTCTGATTCAGATCCAAGTGCTTTGTTGTGTGTGTTTAGTTTCTGTACTTCATGAAGCTGATCCTGAAGTCCCTTGCCTTTTTAGATTGAGATTTGATTACATCCTTTGATCATTTTTGCAATATACAGGAGGAGTTGGGATGCTGAGTTAAGTTAATATGAAACACAGAAGGACTGAAAGGGGACATTGCTGCAATGAATGCCTTGTGGTCTGGCAGTCCACAGGTGCTCTAATGTGGTGCCAGGTGCTCTAGCGTGGATTTGGGGTTACTTTTTTTAATCCAAAAATTGGGGATATTTTTTTTTATCAGAGAAAACCAGCATCCTTGTGCATTACACAGGAACTCTGCTCCAAAAACTTTTTAGGTGAGATGGAAAAGGCAAAAGCACTAAACTATTTAATGCAAAAAGCTGAGTACGTAATATCCTCTATACAGTGGCTATTAGTGCTCTTAAGAGAAACCTTGAGGTTGCTCTGACTGAACCTGTGCCTGAACCGTACCCAACAGCCTACAGGATTGGAGGAGTACGAAAACGGCTTTGTTTCATTGCGACTCTTCACCCACACGTGATGCCGAGTGCAGTTTAGGCAGGCTCGAGAATAAGCTGCTTGGTAATGTGGTTTCATATGCACAAGGTTCAAAAGGCTTGGACCTCTGA